CACACACACACACACACACACACACCACACACACACACACACACACACACACACACACACACACAAAGCAGCTCAGTCACTGAACATGTTTGGATGCTTGTCTCGCCTTATTTGGCCACCCTCCTCAGCCACACACTCTCACACATTCCTCTGCTGTTCCATCCCTCCACGACTGGGACCGGACCCAAGAACCTGACGACCTCCCTCCCTCCCTCCCCCCTCCTCTTCTTTCAGGTCCAGTGGGTGATCTTCTGAGAACGAAAAGCAGCAGCTTTTATTTAGGGCAGCTGGCAGGCGGGAGGATTTTCTTTCGCTCTTCGGGTGACGAAGTGTTCGTGGAGCGACAGTGACCCCCGGGTGTTTGGCTGCAGGGGTCAGCGTCACGCTAACCTCTTTCGTCCACCTTCTAAGAAACCATAAACACCCAGGTGTGGCTCTTCCAGGTGACGGTTCCTGTCACAGACATATTTATGACCAGAAGACCMCACGCCGCACTCTTTCACCTCTGGTTTTGGGTTTCAGCCAGGCTGCCGCCAACGCCGCTGATTGGCCGGCCGGGCCGTTGGTGTCATCGTTGCTACGAGCGCGCCTCCGAGGATAAAACGGCACACGATGTCATCGCTGAGGACACGGGCTGGTGCAATGCAGCTGAGCTGGTCAGGGCGGTGAAATCCCACACCCGCTCTATTTCAGGCAAGAATGTGTTGGCTATGAGACTAAAAAAAAAAAAAATAAATTTGTCAGGGTTCGTCGCAGCCCCTACACCTGACTCTGCTCTTGAGACATCTACATCGCACCCCAAGCTCCTACAAATCAAACCTACATCCCCTTTATCAACCCTAAAATGTTCAACTTTTTACTCTTATTTCTCCTGAGTCACTGCCCCCTTTAAAGTGCCGGTGTCGTCAAATTCTTGTAATACATATGAATGCATTTTTAGAAAGAGGTCATTGATAAAATACTGCAAAATAAATTTCATGTCGTTGAGATGAACAGTTGTTGAGGTATTTGCATGTGAAGTAACAGGAAGTGATGTCAAAGGGGAATGTCTGCATGTAAACAGAGCGTTGTTACAACAGCTAACAGTCTGTAGAGAAGAATCTGATGTTTCTTAAGATTATTTTGAGTCGCTATCAGAGAGCTGAAGAGTCAAAGTTCAAATAATATTGTTTCAATAAACAAAGACCAGAGTTTTCTTTGTTAAAGAGTTCTCCTTTGATGTCACTTCCTGTTTCACTTTGGCTGAGCCAAGTTCAAAAGAAAATATGCCAGTTATGAGACAAAACAGGTTAAATCGTGTGTATTATTCCAAGTTTCTTAATGTTTTCTTTGATTTTTGTATTTGAAGAATATGCATGTCACAGGCACTTTAAATAACTTTTATGTCTCTTTAAAGTTCCATAAAGCCTTGTTAAAGACGTTTGCTGGAGTAATTTGATTGTTCTGAGGTATTTATAGCGGGGCAGAAACTCGAACACAACAGAGGAGCGGAGATGAAACGTCTGCGGGGAGTTTGATTGCAGCTTCATGCAAACATTAAACTCACATCTGCATCCAAAACTCAAGAGTCTGGTCCTGAAATATGGGCTCTGCATGCGTTCCAGCAGCTGGATACAGTTCTTTACAAACCCCCAGTTAAACACACACACACACACACACAGACAGCGCAGAGAGCCGGGCTGACGTGGCGTCCACAC